TACACATAATACTCACACATATAGATGATATGTCTAAATAATTATTATGATTTTCTGCAACATTCATATCAAAGAAACACCCCAAAAAGATTTGAAATGTATAAAGAAAATATTTGCGATACACAAATGGAAAAACAATCCAAGGGATGTTAAGTCTTGTCTGTCTATTGTCTCCAACAAGGCTGGACTAACCTATTTCTTGTCCTACTGTTGTCAATATGCCAAGAGACGGGAAGCAAAATGAAACAAATGTCAAGTTGTTTTAATGATCATTTCCAAAACAAGTTAAAAGAAGCTCTTGAAATAATCATTCATTCAAACATAAAAAGCACTTTTCCAATCAACCACCCACATTTAATGTTATGCTTGGTTTTACTTCAGCAAGATGTAGGAAAGGCCCATCCATGACACAAGATAACACACTGGTGTGGCCTTAAAACAAGATACTAGTCTGGAGTTTACACACACTTTGATTAAATGATTCTCTCAACTGAGAGTAACCATGGTAACACCATACTCCCTTCTCCCGTTGAGCATTATAGTTATAAGAAAATATCTTTCTGTCGGTCAGTGAGTAGATACCTTTCCATGTTTGAATCTTTTAATTCAGTGAAAATAATACTCAACAAATGTGACAAATTAGCAAACAAAACGCACGAGCATGTTCAAATATATGCTGTACCAGGATGCTGCAATCTCATTCAATCAGATCTTTTACCATGTTTACTCTGATAAAAGCCACACAGGAACACAATTATTCCTTCAGTGGTACTCCCTTTTGGGTAAAGATGCCATGGCACTCAGAAACCACAGGGTATATAAACTATCCACAATATGATGGTGCTATCTTTATTATTTACATTCCGAACTGTCCATCTAATTCTATTTATTTCGACATGCTGGTCTATACTTTGCATACCCATACTGTGAATATATAAGCCGTAATGCTGATTGGCAAATTAGTAAGTTCACCTGACATGATCTCCCATCTCCCATCTCCCATCTCCCATCTTGACCCAGAGAGTTTGTATTGGGTTAAAAGATATGATTATGATATAATTGCTGAGTGATGCCACATGGATACTCTGTTGCTTCAAACACAGCTTCAGCAGGTTGATCAGACCAGCAAAGTAGAACCAACATCATACAATTATTTAATCATAATGATAACACATGGCAATGGTAGCAGTTCAAAAGTTCAATGTGGTATAAATATTTTAATTCCTCAGGAAGGAAGGTAACAGGCACGCAAAAATTTGCAAAAATCAACTTTTCTGGGAATTTACAGTTCAAGTCAATAAACAGCTGCTCTAATTTTGTCTAATCTCCATATTTGTACAGCATCTCCATCATTGGTATAAACAGTAGCCAACTTGACCTACTTGAAAGCTGCAGTGTACAGCAGAATACATTTGACCATTGTTACGCATGATGTCAACATTTCCAGAAGTTTGTTTGAGTGGAGATGGAGGAATGTTGCAAAACTTAATGAATTATATAACTTGTAGCACTTTCACTCAAGGTGATGTGGGTTTATGTACCCTGCATGTCAGACATGTTTTGATCTGCCATTGTAAAAGAATTAAAACAAATTGAGCTGAGGTGAACTTGTCTGTGTCACGTGACTTTGTTTGACTCAGAAAAAGCCTGCAGCTTTTTGCTTCGAAGTGTGTATAAGATATTACTTCATATGCTGAGAAATCCACATGCAGCCTGTTTTCTTCATGGTGGGGTATAAGGGATTTATTCTCACGCTCAGAAAAATATTTCCCTCCCGGGCAGGATACATTGTACTTTATCAAGATCATGTGAACCAATCAGATCTCATCATTTAGACATGGAGCTATGATAAAGTCTTCCATACCACACTGAACATATGCTGAACTTTTGAACTGCTCCCTAACTTCCCCATGTTCATGTACATGTTTATTAGTTCATCATTGGGAAGACTTTTATTTGATTTCATTTGTTTGCTCATGTAAAAGTAATTCATTCAAAATTGGACAACAAATGAATGAACCTATCCCCAAGGCCTTTATTTTTTTTAGTTTGTTTACAAAATAGGCCCAAAATTTAATGTAGGTGGTCCATAAAATAATATGAAAAGGATAATGAGTTCTGTGAGCAGATTGTTTCCTTTGCATACGCCCTAACATGTTTGGTGTTTGATTGGTGACTGTGATATACTACTCAACTTGTGATAGGGATATTCTGAGAGTCCAGCCAGGGACTGATCTCTGGGAGAAGTTGTCATACAAGTAGTACCGTATTCGACGTCATAAGCGCCCCGCTCTAAAAAGCTCCCATGGCAATATTTTCTAATATATTGGCTAATGAACAATCCCAATTATCACCCCTTCCGATTGATCAATGTACACAAGACTTATTTGTTCGTGTGTTATATGCACCCTTAATTATTGGGAATTAAATTCTGCAAAAATATATCTGTCGTGTATGATACAAAAATACTTTTCTTTTGTGTCCTTTCCGGCTGTCAGCATAAACTACAAAATGTACAATCTTTCAACTCTGTTTTTTTTCTCACCAAAATTATATTCTGATAAGAGCCCCCTATTTCTAATTTTTAGAGCGCCCTGGGCGCTTATTACGTTGAATGTGGTATTCAGTATTGCCTTGGAACCTTCTCATTACAAGTTAAAAAATAATAAGTGAACATTAAGCATATCCAGCTGTTGTTTTCAGTTAAGTAACAGTATGAAAGATCTCAGTATCATTATTGAAAGGTGAGTAGTGTTAGGAGCCATCGGAAGGTAACTGGGAGTGTTTCCATCCTCCAAACAGCTATAAAATAACTTACACCATTGTACAGTCCACGGACCAAACCTACTTGTAAAACACAGATCAGCCTTTAAAAAATTTAAAATGTCATTTTACTTTTTTTCATCATTCAGATGTCATTTGTTTATGGTGGATGGTTTTGTAAAAGAAGTAATAAAACACAATCTCATTAAAATCAGATCTTAGTTCTCGCTGCCGCAAAACAAAGATCTGAGGACATCCCACGTCAGACTGACCTTTCACAAACTCTGACCGACCAATGGAATTACTGACAAGAAGTCGACATTAGCCATTCAGTAGGCAGCTTCTCTAGCTTTGCGGCACTAATTTCAAATTGGCGACTACACTTCGAAACATATTTTGACAAATTCTCGCTTACAAATTTGAAACCTGAACAAAAGAACATTCTCGAATGGCTAATAGATGGTCTAGATTGTATGGATTCAGTCGTTAAGCCCATAACTATCGTTCGGAATACCCCGTTTTAAAGTTTTCGAGGCTGCATGATTAGAAATCACATTCCAACTGTCACTTTCATGATCTGGTAAGCGACGCTCTGATTGGTCGGATAAAAGGTCGTTCTGACGTGACCCCTAATGGGATGTCCTCATATCTTTGTTTAGTGATAGCGAGCACTAAGATCTGATTTTAATGAGATTGTAATAAAACATAACAGTTTAACAAACTAACAAGTCCAAATCCATCTGCATTATTTGCAAACAAATATATTTGCGTGAACTTGAAGAGGAGGTAAAACATAGCATGGGTGCTAAGTGATGACAGAAACCATTATTCAAAGAATATGTCACTTACGGAACACTTTTTCACCATTGTTCATAGAACAGTAGTGCCAAGTCTTAACTGCTGAGATGAGGAATCACGTTTACTTTTCTGCCACCAAGAACACAAATTTTCTGCCACCAAGAACGCAAATACACCCACGCCAAGCACAAGTAATTACCCATATCCATGTTCAGCTGAAACAAACTTTCTCATTTTAAGGAACAAACATTGTCATTTTTCAATTCCAAAGCACCATCAAGCACTGTGAATTATGAATTAAAAACAAAAATACATATAACAATAAACAGGGTTCCATTCCACAAAGCAATCTTAGTGTGACTATTGTATTCCTATGTTAAAGTATGGTAGCTACCATCATCTTAGTACTACGATTATCATAATCCTATATGTTAAAGTATAGGAGCTACAATCATCTTAGCACTTAGATAATGTGAGCCTATGTTAACATGTTAAGGACCAAACATTTGCTTTTCTGAGGGGCTTGGGATTTTTTTTTAAAAAAAAAGAAAATTCTTGAAAATAATAATTATGCCTCAGAGTGTTGGAGATAAAGGTAATTGCCTCTCACAAAATTTACATTGTTGCAAGGTGTTTTTCTTAAAACAAATTCAGGCTCATAATTTTAAATAAAAAAATATCAAATGGTTGGTCTCTAAAAGTATAGGAGCTATGATCATCTTAGCGCTAAGATCTCTTTGTGGAACGATCCCCATGTGATGCCCATGTGATCCCCATTCAGTGTCATTCTGTTAATCCAGCCAGTACTGTTCCCACCCAGTTGCTTGGTTTAAGAAATTTCCAGATTAACAAATCATGAACACCTAGTAACCATGGTAACATGAGTAAGGTCCCTATTTTCAGTGGGTCCAGAATTACAAGGTTTCACTGTCTCCTGGTCACACAATTGAATATTAAATAACATTCAGCTATTATACCATCCTCAATTATCTAGTGTACCATATCTCCATTCAATTTTAATAAACACCCTGGACCTGATAGCCACAAAAGTTTCACAACAGCTCAACAGCTCAACAGCTCAACAGTTCAACAGCCACAACAGCTCCATCTCTCTTACCATCTTAGCACAAAGTTTCCCTCACTCATGATCTTGAAATAAACAACAAAACGAAATGACCTTTTGAACGAGAGTTCAGCAAAGATCTGACTTCAGAATTTCAGCCTCAAAAGGGCAAGCCATACATATTATCGAGTATTATGAGTATTAAGTGAGTGAGTTGGGTTTAACGCCGCTTTTAACAGTATTCTAGTTATATCACGGCGTGTCAGCTTCATGTGGGAGGAAAGCCCGAAGTGATGCAGGTCTCAGACGTTTACCACTTCGGTGAAACCCACGAGCATGGGTATGGTGCTGACAAACCTAGAAACATAATCGGGGCGAACCGGGATTCAAACCCACAATCATAGGTTTCTGGCGTACCCAAGGGACGCTACTCTGCACAGCAAATCGTGGCGCCTTAGACAACTGGGCCACCCGTTCCCCCCCTGAGTATTAAGACAAGGCAGGGAAGTCTTCATGCTATAAGGCGTTCCCAGTTGTAGAGATGGTACACAACAAATCATTTCAAGCACTGGTGACGTCGCCACAATTTCAGTGTAATTTGATTGGACAGCTATTTATAGCTTCCACGTCATTCAAACAAGACCCAAAATGAAGCTGTGTTGGTGAATGGGTATTTATCCAAATATAATGGAGACATGATACACAAGATCATAAATCAGGGATGCAATTACACCAGTATATACATTAATAGCCTAGTACTCTATAAGCCCTGTTTCAGTTAGCGCTGAGTGACTCTGGCTTGGACGCAGTGCCCGTAGTGTACTAAAATCAGTTAAAAGACGAGAGTCTCGTAAAGAGTCGATGCCAGAATCCTCTGACAGTGGCGACCCATTCATACCATAGTCCGACACCCAGCCCAAACCCTTAGCTTGGGCTGCAGCAAGGTATCTCTTCCTCCGGTTTATCTTATATATTTTTATCCTCTCACGCTCTGCCTCAGGATCATCCAGTATATCCTCCCAGCGTAAACTTTCATTGAATGGCTGAGGCGACGGCATTTTGTTGATCGTCGTTGAAACAGAAACAAAATTTTGTTCGATTTTCTTTGAACTTTTGGCCCGGTTTGATCCCAAGTGGCCTTTAGTCCTAGAACATTTCTCGCCTTTACTTTTTGTCTTTATTGTCACTGTGGATATCCTGTTTGTTATGTCAAGGACACCAGAATTATGGGGTTCGGATCTTGCCCTTGGCAAAGGGTCCTTGATGGTGGAGTTGAGGTTTGAATGTTTAGCACCTTTCCTGGTTACTGGCGATGGCAGGTCCCTGTCGTCAGAAGGAATTTTTGGAAGCGATTTCTTTTTACGGGATGTAAGCAGTGATGTGTCGGAGTCTGCTCCTGAAATTACAAGGAGTAAACTTTTAAATTGACAAGTCAAATTTGTTGTGTTCATTGTAATTCTGGCATTCTGATAAGCTGATTTGATCATGTGTTATTGCATTCATTTCCCAATGAATGTTTGTTTGTTTGTTTGTTTGTTTGTTTGCTGTTTAACGCCGCACTCAGCAATATTCCAGCTATATGTCAGTCTGTAAATAATTGAGTCTGGACCAGACAATCTTGTGATTGACATCATGAGCATTGATCCACGCAGTTGGGATACAATAACATGCATCAACCAAGTGAGCGAGCCTGACCACCCGATCCTGTTAGTCACCTCTTACGACAAGCATAGTCGCCTTCAACGGCAAGCATGGGTTGCTGAAGACCCATTCCATCCCGGATCTTCACGGGATGGTCACATGAATGTAAAAACTTAAGCCACGCCCACCGAACTGGACTACTTTTATCACTTCGGAATGTCAGGAAATCCCAATATTACAGTCGAGGGAATTCCCGTTCTGCCCACGTCATGCACAGGACATTTAGCAAAATTCATGCATATTCATTGTCAAACTACCATTTGAGACCAAAGGCCAAGAAGGAATGAAACAGCAAATGTGCAGGCTCGCTGTTTGTTTTTTTAGCTCGCCTGGGTTTCACAAAATGTATGTTCAGGGTTTCATTTCTAACCCGCATTTTTCCAAATTCATTTCACTGGTATATATACACTTCCTTCTGGGATCACCCCTGAATAAAACAATATGCAGTGTGATAGTGCCATGCATATTTCAGGTGAACTGTCATAGCGACTGATTTACAACTACCATTGTCTGAAGTACATTTGACTCCAGAGGCTAATTACCCTGTAGCCATGTTTCCATAACTTAATTGTCATTACATTTTAGGTGCTAATCCCTGTTGTTAATCCTCACCAACATTTCATTGTATATTGACTGACAGCCAACCTGGGCTGCTATATCAGTTCCCGTTAATTACTGTTATTTATAGTATGACATTTATTGCCTTAATTGTTCATCCCCTGAGCTGTGTCGGTTTATCACCCCCAGAAGTCCCATGTCCAGAGCAACGGCATTGTCTTTCCATTGTTGTTCATTACTATATATGTGCTACGATTACACTGTTACTACGATGTTAGTCAAGCTTGGTATTCCGAGTGCTGGTGTAGGGACGACCTCGAGCAGGATGTGCCGCTCGTAGGAAACGTCGTTGAGCTGGAGCTCCGCTCACCTCATGTATGCCTGAGCTGGAAGGTCCGCTCATCGCTGTGTGCATCGCTGTGTGCATTGCTGTGTGCATGTTGTGCATAAAGCGTTCCGGGACACTGATGTCGATTTTGTCCTTTATTCCCCCAAGAGCTAATTCCCCGTCAACATGCGCGTTGACAGAACTAATGAATGGCCATGAATAACGACATGAAAGTCAAATGAGCCCTACTCCGTGCATGAACGAAGTGTGAACCCTACCATTGCCAGACACTGAAGTAATGTGTAGAGCTGATGACTGCATGGCTATGCCACATGTTGCACATAATCTTAGGGCAAAATTATCCACTTTATATGTTTTTAAACACGGTCAAGGGGAGGTAATTCCTTCTGGAGGTGTTTTAGTGTAGCCTACGAGCTCCTCACAGCAATAGCCCATTTGCAGAGCTCTCTATACTATCACTGCCACCAGTCAAACTCCCCAGTCTGTGAAATGTGGTTACAACCATGCTTGGAGTTGAACTCGCAACCCAGGGATCGTTATGCTAACAAACATGTGATGACTGCCGTGATGCCGAATACTCTTACCCTAACAATAATATTTTCTAATTGTTTGTCAATTTGAATTTCTATTTCATTTTAACTATCATGTAATTGGTATAGTGAGTATGTGAGGGGGAATTTGAGTGATTTTCTGTTTGTCTGCAATTTCGAACCAATCTGATCAAACAAACAAAAAATTCATCTGGGAAATATGGTCAGTCTTAAACCTTTTTAAAAATAACTGTATTGGCATTCCCAAAGACATAAACAAAAGTATAAACGTTACTACATTTGAGGTTAGAAGGCAAATTTGTAATGGGCCTGCCCACACTGGTGGCAGCAACGTTACCGAGAGTGTAACGAAGGTGTCACGCGCTGGGAAGGAGCTTGTGTAACCTATTGTAATGGGTGGTAACTCCGGTTGGACCTACCCTTCTATTTTGTGTATGCTGCAAGGGGTACTGTCAGTTTTTATACTTGTTGTAGGTGGCAATGTGTTGATAACTGCCATGTTTGCAGCTGAATTGCTTAATTTATTCCTGGTGATGGAGGTGATGGTGTATACAAGCCTGTGAAGTACATCTCTGTACATCTCTGTACAGGAACAGCCTGGTCTATCATCATGATCATTTTCAACTTACAACATTCTTACTGCCGTATTCATAGTAATGGGACCACAGGGAAACACTGACAAACACTTTCTGGATGTTGCCTGGTAACTATCTTCACTTTAAGTAAGTAAAAATTTAACGTAGCATCGGCATTATTTCAGCCAGTTTTAGTGGAAGTTAGTATGATGTATAGTGCGTGAGTATGGTTTTACGCCGCTTTTAGCAATATTCCAGCAATATCCTGGCGTGGACACCAGAAATGGGCTTCACACATTGTACCCATGTCGGGAATCGAACCCTGGTCTTCAGCGTGACGAGCTAACGCTTTAACCACTAGGCTGCCCGTATGATGTATAAGTGTGAGATAAAAGAACATGTGTTAACATGGCTAACATTTAGTTTATGGATTTTCAGTTAAATGTTAAATAAAGTCATCAATGAACTTTCAAATAAACATGATAAAGAAATAGTTTACTTTAAACTGTTAAAAAAAGGATCATTGGTAAACTTTGAAATTAATCCTTGTAAACTAAGGATCACTGGTTAACTTTTAAATAAAAGATCACTGGTTAACTTTGAAAAAAAAGATTATTGGATAATTTTGAAATATTGGATCATTGGTTAACTTTTGAAAAAAAGTGTATTTATCTTCTTGGCCACAAGGCCTTTGATTCTAAAATAATAATCATGTCAAATCTTTATGAGCATCATGATTATGCTTATTTCAGAGGAATGTTATATTTTATTGGTGACTGATCCGGGCCTTGAAACACAGCACCCATGGAGAAATGCCTCTTGTCTCTCCCTGGAGATTCTTTGAGTGCATGTTCAGAACCTCACACAACATGACACTCTATACACATACAACGGAAAGAAGCGTCTGAGTGGCAGCACATGAACAGAATTAATGAAGGATATGTTTACTCACAATATGTATGACATACAAAGTCCGGGATCAATTACTATTCACTACATCCAGTTCACTAAAGTTGATTGACAAGAGCAGGCAGTTGTGTGTACAATGACTACAGTTTGTTGTTTTATGTACCTTCATATGGTTACGGATATATAGAATAGAGACCCGCTGTTCATCTCTATAAATGGTTTGAACACATATCCCATGGTTGGTTTGTTGTTTAACGCAGCACTCAGCAATATTCCAGCTATTTAACGGCGGTCTGTAAATAATCGAGGCTGGACCAGACAATCTAGTGATTAATATCATGAGCATCAACCAAGTCAGCAAGCCTAACATATCCCATGAAGTGGATCAACATGATCATAAATGTAACAAATAAACAAAACTTTATGGCATGGATTATTTGAATATTCCTATCCTTCTAAAGCTAGTGCCTTCCACAGTGTCCATGAGGCATTCCAAGGCAACTAGAGTCAGTATCTACCAGAGTGTCCATGGGGCATTCCTAGCTAACTCGTCAGTATCTACAGTCAGTATCTAGCCAACTACAGTCAGTATCTACCACAGTATCCATGAGGCATTCCTAGCCAACTAACTACCAGTGTCCATGAGGCATTCCAAGGCAACTAAAGTCAGTATCTACCAGAGTGTCCATGAGGCATTCCTAGCCAACTAGTCAGTATCTACAGTCAGTATCTAGCCAACTACAGTCACTATCTACCACAGTGTCTAGAAGGCATTCCTAGCCAACTAAAGTCAGTATCTACCAGTGTCCATAAGGCATTCCTAGCCAACTAAAGTCAGTATCTACCAGTGTCCATAAGGCATTCCTAGCCAACTAAAGTCAGTATCTTCCACTGTGTCCATGAAGCATTCCTACCCAACTAAAGTCAGTATCTTCCACTGTGTCTGTGAACCATTCCTAGCCAACTAAAGTCAGTTTCTACCACAGTCTCCAGGGGGCATTCCTGGCCAACTAAAGTCAGTATCTTCCACTGTGTCTATGAACCATTCCTAGCCAACTAAAGTCAGAATCTTCCACTGTGTCCATGAAGCATTCCTAGCCAACTAAAGTCAGTATCTTCCACTGTGTCTATGAACCATTCCTAGCCAACTAAAGTCAGTATCTACCACAGACTCCAGGGGGCATTCCTGGCCAACTAAAGTCAGTATCTACCACCGTGACCATGAGGCATTCCTATCCAACTAAAGTCAGTATCTTCCACTGTGTCTATGAACCATTCCTAGCCAACTAAAGTCAGTATCTTCCACTGTGTCCATGAAGCATTCCTAGCCAACTAAAGTCAGTATCTACCATAGTATCCATGAGTGTTCCTAGCCAACTCAAGTCAGTATCTACCATAGTATCCAGGAGTGTTCCTAGCCAACTAAAGTCAGTATCTGCCATAGTATCCATGAGAGTTCCTAGCCAACTAAAGTCAGTATCTACCATAGTATCCAGGAGTGTTCCTAGCCAACTAAAGTCAGTATCTACCATAGTATCCATGAGTGTTCCTAGCCAACTGAAGTCAGTATCTACCAAAGTATCCAGGAGGCATTCCTAGCCAACTAAAGTCAGTACCTTCCACCGTGTCCGTGGGGCATTCCTAGCCAACTAAAGTCAGTACCTTCCACCGTGTCCATGAGTGTTCCTAGCTTACTATCTCCAGGCCACATTCCCATCTCGTCCCCCTGTAACACACACCCTAATCACCCTAT